CCCCTGGGCAGTGGGCTGTGTCGAGGCCCCGCCCCGCCTCGTGCCCGCCCCCGCGCTCGGCCAATCAGGCGGCGCCCCGCTGGCCGTGCCCGGCGTCCCGTACGGTCAAGATGGCGGCGCGGCTCCCCCTGCTCGCCATCCTCCTGCTCCTGCTCGCCCTCGCCCGCCCGGCGCTCGCCGCCGCGCAGGAGGCGGAGGGCGCGGCGGCTGCGCCGCATCGCCGCTTTGAGTACAAGTACAGCTTCAAGGGGCCGCACCTGGTGCAGGCGGACGGGACGGTGCCGTTCTGGGTGCACACGGGCAGTAAGTGGCGGGCGGGGGGGCGGCGGGGCCGGGCCGGTCGCGCTCCTGCGGCGGAGGCGGCAGCGGCCGCCCGGGGAACCTGCGAAGGTGGCCGGGGCCGGCGGGCCGAGCTCCGGCCGTGCCCCCGGGCCCCGCGTGGCAGCGGTGAAGTGCCCGCGGGCCCCCCGGCACCTGCGCCCTTGTGCGGCGGCGGCCCCGGCCGTGGGGAGGGGACTCCCGGCAGTGCTGATGTGTCACTGCCGCCGCGCTGCACCGCGGACAGGCCTCGGCACGGCCACAGATAGCGCTGGGTGAAAATTCTGCTTTCGCAAATACGACTTAATGGAACAACGTTTATACCGGCTGTGTGTTCTCTGCAGTGCAGGTTAAGGGTTCCATTGTACTCAGAAAGGTTTTTCTCCTTAGTGGCCCCCTCATGTAGAAGGTATTGACATTTACAGCACGTAAGGTTCTGCCTTCCTATAATTTCTCTGCAGTAACTTCTGCTGTGCTTTTTGGTTTTTTGATTTGACTTTAATTTTGGGTTCCCCTGACCCCCAAGTGGCTGAGTACTCACCTAAAAAGTTACTTTGAAAACTGTTCTCTAGTTGAGGAGACCAGAAAATTTTCTGAGTTTGGAAGATTTGTTTATTGTCTAGTTAAGCACTTGCAATATTTTCTATTTTGTACATAGTGTTTGTTCCTTTCCTTTCTAGATGCCATACCGAGTGCAGATCAGATTCGTATAACAACATCTTTGAAAAGCCAGAAAGGGTCAGTGTGGACGAAAAACAAGTCAATATTTGAATATTGGGAAGTCGAAGTGACCTTTCGAGTTACAGGAAGAGGCCGCATTGGAGCTGATGGGCTGGTATGAACACCCTGATCTCCCTGAGAGAAACAGCCGTGCTTTAAAAGGGAATCTTCACTTACAACTCCTCTTGCTTTCCTGATAGGCAGTCTGGTTTACAGAAGAGCAAGGCTTGGAAGGTCCTGTTTTTGGGGCAGCTGATAAATGGAACGGTGTTGGAATTTTCTTTGATTCTTTTGACAATGATGGAAAGGTTAGTTGGAAGTAAACTCTTCTAGTAAAGACTATAAACTGATTTCTGGTCTGTTTCATACATGTGATGTTGTGGAAAAAATAGGATGTTATTTTTCTACTCTTCCTGCCTTTCACTTCAAAGGGATAAAATAAAATAGACAAGTTTCCCTTACAGAAGTTTTACTAGACTTTTTCACACTTGCTTTTTAAGCTTGAAAGTTGAAGCATAACACATCATGAATCTCCACTGAACATTGGTTCATGTGTCAGGTTTGGAGGGAAGATACCGTGGACATATGTATAATCTGAAATTTGGAATGTCTGTGCACAGTTTGATGTTGATACATCTGGAGGTGTGTGCTTTGGAAGAGGGATATTGTACCAAAATACGACACTGTGGGAACACCAGTTTCTGTGTCTGTCTCCAGAGATGCTCTTTTTCTGGAACAGCAGCAAAAATTCTGTAGCAGATGGGAGTGACAGTTGTTGTTTTCAGTTCCCAGTGTTCCAGCCCAGAATGATCCTGGGAAACTTTAATACTATATAGTGGGCCTGCTTTGCTTTTTTTGCTTTCCCTGCAGACTTTGACTTGCTTTTAGACATTTTAGATATATTTTAGTAGGTGTATGTGCCTTTTTTCCCCCCTACAGATGGCTTTTGATATACAGCAAACTTTATCATATATAAAAAATTGAAATACTGAAGGTGATGTTTATGTTTCTGATTTCAAAGACAAGACATAGAATCAGAGTATTGTTCAACTCACTAGGAATTTTTAGATCCTTTTTCCTTTTCCTTTTATTTTTTTCCTGACTTCTGGCATAAACATGGACACTGGCATGGTTTGGTGGGCTGAGGATGCCATCTGCCAAAAGTTTCCCATGGACAGCACTGCTTGCCAGAACTCTGATAGCACTGGGACTCTGACCACGACAAGTTCAGTCAGTGTGGTGTAAAACCCTTTGTCTGAAGTGATGATGTGTCACTTCTAATGGAAACAGAAGTCTTGCTCATGCCTGTCGTGGTCTGACATGTCTTAAGTACTGGAGGGTCTAAGACTTTTTTAAATTACAGTCTCTGACTTTCTACAGTCCCAGTATGGAGAAATTCTGCTGCAATTTTTTTGCCGTTATCATTTAGTACATTTTCATCCTCTAGCAATTCAAATAACTGGGGGTGTGTTCAACAGCCTTTGTTTAGTCTCTGACAGAAAGCTCCTGAGGTTTTTCTAATGACTGTGACAAGGTCAGTAGGGTGTCAACATAGTGTCTGTTTGGCTACATAACACTGGGAAAAACATCCAAAGTTGGATGTACTAAGTCAGCTGTTCCTTTCAAAGACTGTGTCTTCACTACATTTGAATTTCTCCAAACTGTGGCTTCTGTGTTTCTGCATTTGCCCAGTTATGGTAGTTGGTAGTATACCCAGGAACTTAACTTGTAGGTATTTTTCCCACCTCTAACTATGCAAAGAAGGTGTCAAGTCTCTTGCAAAGCATGCAGCTTGCTAGTGTCATTCAGAAATTCCAAAAGAAAAAACATCTGAGGTGTAATGACTTAAGGTGCTCTATCACAGAAAGGCTGTCAATGATGTTACTTATATTTCACTTCAAATTAAACTGTTCCATTTGTTTGCCATTTCTTTTTCTAGAAAAACAACCCTGGAGTGATTGTTGTGGGCAACAATGGAAAGCTTCTGTATGACCATCAGAAGTAAGTTTATTTTCAGTGTTATTGATGAATGCTTGCTTTTGAATGATGAAATTTTGCATGAAAGCCTTTGGGAAACAAGGCTTTGTTCATAGGAAACCTTGTTGTTTTCTTTATATTTGAGGTTTTCTGTTTGTTAAAATACTGCTTTGGCAGTAACAGCACAGAAATTGGCAGCTGATGGATATTTAAATGGCATATGTCCTTTGGGATGAGTGAACTCAGAGGTGCAGACTTTTTACCTCTTCATTGCTCATAGGTATCTTCCACACAGAGCCTATAACTGACAGAAGTGACTGACTGAAAGCTAATTGCCTGTTGCTAAAACTAATTGGATTAATTTTGATTTCTGATTGTTTGTTGTGAACAACACAACTGACACCTTTTTGGATTCTCTGAGGAGAGAGGTGTCTAGCTTAATTGGTGCTGTCTGGTCTACAGCTTATTTCCACCTCTGTTCCCAGATGCAGGAATGTGTCTTAGGAGCAAACAGGTTTTCCCATTCCTGCATTCCATCTGTACTGTCCTGTGCAAAGCACCTGGTACTGCAGATTGCAGACCGCAGAAAGCTCAGTGCAGTTACGGGGACAGGCTTTGACAAACTTGGATATTGAAACACTGTCCTGATGTTGCTGAGCCATAGGTTGATGCTTTCTTGTCTTAGCTGGTAAATCCTAAGGTGAGGTTGTTTCTGTGTGCAGTGACGGTGCCACACAAGCCTTGGCCTCCTGTCTGAGGGACTTCAGGAACAAGCCCTACCCCGTGCGAGTGAAGATCGCCTACTACAAAAAAACCCTGACTGTGAGTGCTCTGAGACAGGGGAACTGCTCGTGTTCCTCAGCTTCCTCAGTGTGGGATTGTTGAGCAGTGTGAAAACCCAAAGGCCCCCCGTGTTAATTCCAGCGTTGATCCCTGTAGGTGTCAGTGAACAATGGCTTCACTCCGGACAAAGACGACTACGAACTGTGTGCAAAAGTGGAAAACATGGAGCTGCCATCACAAGGCTATTTTGGAATATCTGCAGCAACGGGGGGACTCGCAGGTAGTAAATGTTTAAAACTGGGACAAATGGTGTGGGGACCTGCAGGGCTTGCAAGAGAAGTTGGGGTTTTTTTCTACTGCTGGTGTTGATCCATTATACCAAATCTTGACCACGATGATGTGATTAATCCTCTCCCATTCCCAAATTACTGATATGCTTAGGCCTTTTCCTGGCTACAGCAGAAGAAATTTCAGTTTGTCCTGACAAAGCCACTGTACAGTCTCATTCCCCACTGCACAGACTCTTGGGAGGACTTTGGGAGGGTGCTGTTCCTTGAAGATCCTTTGCAGGTGGAAAGTTGGCTTGGGAAGTACTGGGATTTGTAACATATTTTTGTTTTGTTTGTTGAATACAGATGATCATGATGTCCTGTCATTTCTGACCTTCCAGTTGACTGAGCCTGGGAAGGAAGTAGTAAGCATTTTTATGCATAATTAATAAAGTATTGTATATGTTTTATGTGCAGCACCAGATTATGGTATTCCCTCTGAAGTCACACTTGGCATCCCTGTTTTGGGATTTTGGCATGCAGCTGTGACATCATCTGTCTTAGAAAAATGAAACTGGTACTGTTATGTTTTGGTAGTATTGTAATTAATGTTTTTAAGACCAGAATTCTGG